CGCCTCGTCGTCGGGCTCCGACAAGGAAGACAATGGGAAGCCCCATTCCTCCGCCCCGTCCCGGCCCAGACCCCCGCGGAGGAAGCGGCGAGAGTCCACGTCGGCCGAAGAGGACATCATTGATGGATTTGCCATGACCAGCTTTGTCACTTTTGAAGCGCTGGAGGTAAGGGGGGGACCCCACTTCTCTCCCCCGCCCCCCGATTTTCCCTTTATGCACGACCCCACTGGGCTGCGCCGGGCTCCAAGGCCTCTCCTCTCCCCTCTGCTGTCTGGGCTGTCTGTCTGTCTGTCTGTCTGGGTTGAAGTCTCATTGTTGGGGGGAGTCGGGGGGCGCGGGCGGGCGGGCAGGCGGCAGGAGGGATCGGCCAGTGGAGCCAGGGCTCCTCGTCCTCGCTCGCCTTTCCCTGGCGCCCCCTCCCTGCACTCCCTCCCCAGCAGATGGGCAGAAAGGAAGGGGTACAGGCAAGCACAACAATGCGCCCCCTCCCTGGATCGCTCGGCCCCACTCCTTCCTCCTCTCCCTCCCCAATCATGGCTTCTTGGCTGGTGGGAGTCTGTGCTGGGTTCGGGGCGCCAGTGGACGGGGCTCAGAGGACTTGCTATGTAGCCAGATGGCCGTGTGTGGGGATGTGTGTGTACGCGGGTCGCCGATGCCTTTCCGGGGTGTCCTCGGGACCAGAACCGAGCGGGTTTTGTGGTGCCTTTACCCTCTCTTCTCCTGCCTTTTTTTTTTTTTTTTTTGGTGAAGCTGGGGAAGGGGGCGTTTTCTCCTGGTTGGCAGAAAGGAGGGAGGAGGGGAGAGAAGAGGAAAGGATGGCAGAGCTTTCTGGATTCTGGATGGTGCTCTTCAGCCGAAAGGGTTAATTATCACATCATTTCGACACCTTCATATGCACATGTGTGTGTGTGTACATGAGCAATTTAGTTAAAGGACAGACAGAAGTACACCAGAGACTGCTGGTGGGAGGCAAGAATAAAATCCTAGATGGTGTCTGAAGGGCTTGTCACTCAATTGTCCCTCTCCTTTTGCTGCTTTTTTGTGTGTGCGTTCTTTTTTTTTTTTTTTTCTTCCCCTAAGTGATTGGCTTTGTGTGTGTGTGTGTGTGTGTGTGTCTTTATCCCTGGAGCACCTGCAGTGTCCATTTCCAAGTGCACATTTTCCTGTGGGCTGACCAGCTCCTGGAAGGTGGGGGGTGGGGCAGCCAGGGGCTAGAAGGGACTGATTGTCCAGGGGTCAGAGGCAAAGTATTTTGAAACAAGCTGGTTTGGTGCTAGGACTGATCCTCTGTAAATTTCACCACCTTCTATCCTACCCCCAGTCTCTCTATCCCCACTCCACCACCACTAACTCACACACACACACACACAGAGAGAAACACACACAGAGAAACACACACACAAGACTTTGAAATTCTGCAGAGTTGGACCAGCTTTCTTAAGGACACAACCAAGAAGACATGAATTGGTTTATAGCCTTTTCTGCACCTGATGTGATGTTGAAGGTTCCTGAAGGAAACTTTTTCCTTTTCTTTTAGTTTCTGCTGGTATTATGGTATTGCTTCAGATGCTTATATGCAGGCATTATTAATGACAACTTAAAGCCACACATACATGTTCTCTGTGTGTGTTTGGGTGTTGGATTGAAGGATTTTTCAAAGGAAAGCTTTTTCTGACAGCGTTTTTGTTCTGTGTGGTTTGTTCTTGGGCTGCTGGTGGTGATGGTGGTGGCTGGTGGCCAGTGGTTGGCAGTGGAGGTAGGGAGGGTGGTGCTGGTTGGGATTGTAGGCAACCATAGATTTGGATGTCTGTGATGGAATCAGTTACTCCTAGCTTCTAGATCTGATGCTTTGTGGGCTAAAATGGATCCTGTACAATTGTGTTATGTGTGCACCTCACCACTTGATAGGAGAATCCAAAGTGTGGCTCTAACTTTACCAAGATGGGAGAGTACTGTACTGTGTGACCTCTCTCTCACTCTCTGTCTGTTCTCTGTGAAAGCGGAATGGAAATGGCAGCCTCAGTCCTAATGGAAAATGCTGCCTGGAATCGGGTTCACCATTGCTGGCTGTAGTTGGTTTAGGATAATACTTGTAAGAACTGGTCACAAGTGGTTCTGCTTTCTGCATGGTTACCCTGGACCTCTGTGTGTGTCTCCTCCCAGTGTGCAAGAGGGGCACGCAGATTCCCTGGAGCATATTTGAAGGCCAAGTAGGGAAGGGTATAGTGTATGCAGTTGTTTTGGATCGTTTTGTTTTTAATAAGGGGGTATCTGGCATTGGGACTGATATCCGTTAGTTTGTGTGTATATACGCATATGTGGATAAACACACTCACACTCTGGTATATCACAGTTCGATGGACTCCCCACTTGGTTTTTGAGAGAAAATTTGCCTATTTTGGGTTATTAATTTTTAGAGGAGACGAAGTTCAAAGTGTGCTATTAATACTTTAATTTTTCTTTACTTGTGGTTATTTTTTTCAACTATTCTAGATTTAAAACTCAGATTACTGTGATTAAGTGAATGTGTGCTGCCTTCATGTGTAAATATTTATATATATGTATATATATGCATAAATACATACATACATACATATATATACTAGTTCTTATGTGCTGTCAAGTGGATTTAAACCTCCGACTTTGCATTTGGCAGTCCAGTGCTTATCCTACTGTTAACATCTCACTAGGAAATATATATATACATATACATATGTATGTGTGTATATATTTATGTACACACATAATCTTTGTGTGGGTCTAAAAGATCAAACTTTTGTATAAGTTTATTTAAAACTTCCTCTTAAAAGTAAAATTTACAGTAGAATAAATACCAGTGTATCCTACACCCAAGTTCAACAATTACCAACTCATGTCTGAGCTTGTGTCATTTAAATGCCAAACCTTCATTCCCAACTCTCATTGACTAATATTCCTATACATAAGTCTTAATTGATAAAAAGACAAAGCTGCAGGCCCTACACTATCATTACATACCTGCAGAAATTAGCCAATAGTTCCCCAATATAATCAAATGTCCTGTCAGTGTTTACATTTTAAGAGGCCCAGATTTTATAGGAAAACTATAAATCAACTTTGCAGTTTAAAACCACACAATGGAGTGTGAACATTCTGATGTTTATCTGGTTCTTTGGGAAAAGGGAAAATTGTTGGCTGCTTACTATCAAGTTTGTGCCATGTCGAATAATCAAAACACATGTGTCCTGGTCACTGCAATGAAGTCTCTGGTGTACCTCACTATTCAGTTTGGAAGATTTTCTGATCCATCAACGAGAAATGTGAGATGCTCATTAGGAAGCAGGGAACTCAACTATGAACTTAGACCTTTGTGTTACAGGAGTGTTTGTTAAGTGTTAAGAATTATTATAGATAATAAGGGTAACCCTGATTACATATTGTGTTGCTAGGCCTGGTGTTTAGAAATGAAAACAACTGTCACCATATATCAAAGCTGCTGGTGATGCGGTCTGATGATAAGAAACCAGAAATATTGGCTTGTTCAGAGAGGCTTTGGCAAGCTGCTGGAGTGGCCTACTGTGAATCTTAAGGGACACAGAACCGGACTTATCATTTTGAACTAAGTAGCTCATTCTACACTCCCTAACGCTGAAGGAAATGTGCTGATAGAAATAACTCCATTCCAACTGTTGCTTTATTGATAGTGGAGTCCAAGTAATCCTCTGGCCTCAGTGAGAATGGCCTCACTGCATTTTAAGGCCAATTAGTTCATCATCTTACTTTATGAGGATGCAAATTCTGGGGGTAGTGTTGAGATGCCTTACATGTGACAGTCAGTGAAATTGTCAGAGGTAGTTTCATATTCTGTAGGGACACTTGTCTTGCATAACTGTGCCCTGAAGTTCAAGTGAGTGATTGTGAAGAGTCTCATGATAGAAGATAAGAGGGTAGGTGAGGAGGCTAAAGTTGAGTGTGCTGTTCTTAACATTAGGCAATTTAGAAGCAGAATTACCATATAGATCTGATATTGTTTGTTTGACTGTTCTTTAAATGGAAAGATGAGTGTGAATGTTCCCAGATACCGTGTCTTTATTTAATAACCAACCCCCCCGCCCCCAAAGAAGTGGTGTCTAGCAAAGTATAAATGGAAATCCTGAGCTCCTTCTACTCTCAGTGTAAACTGATGTGCAGAGCCGGCTGTCTTTCTGTATTTGAGTTCTGTGTAAAGTAGAGGAGGATGTTGTGTGAGAATACGGCTGAAATTTTGACCTTGAAGATCCATTATCCCTTCCCTCCTTCCCTGGGTGTGCACCGTTCTCTGAATTGCCCCCTTTTGCACAACTGACCAAGAGAAGCAAAGATGAAGTTGACGGGATTGACAGACAAGAGGCCAAGTGGAGCTTTGCTGGCTTGTGAAAATGAAAACTTGTTTCTGGTGAATGGAGAATCAAGCCAAGACGTTCATGTGGTCTTCATTTCCTCGCTCGGGTTCAGGACTTATCCACACACCAGTGGCAGAACCAGGCTGTACAGGATTTGATGTACTTACATCATGTTTACAGGAGATAATAATTTATTATGGTCAAATCTCACATATTCAGTTGTTAAAAAAACAAAACAAAACACCAGTCATGGTCCTTGAATTGATTGGTCAGCAAATGTTTATGGAGTGCAAAACACAAGAAGAACTTCCAAGACGTCTAAAATAGATGTAGTATCTTGAGGGAGTATGCAGTTTCATTGATAAAATAAGCCCAGCAACTGTAAAATAATTATGAAAGAGAAACATGAGTGCTTGATACCCAGTGTGTGCAGTAGACTTTCAAGGAAGGGTGATGGGAGAGGATGAACTATTTGAGAAGGCTATGGGGGACTAAAGGATGGAGAGGTTTGGAAAGGGAGTTGTTGTTAAGTGCCGACGAGTCAGTTCTGACTCATAGTGACACTGTGTATAGGGTTTCCTTAGGAGCAGCTGGTGACCTTGAACCACCGACCTTGTGGTTCAAGCCAACCTTCCAGTCCATTGCATTAACCCGCAGTGTAAAAATGGGGATGGTGGCGAAGGCACAGAAATAAGATGAGTGTGAAAATGTGCTTTGATTAGTGCTTGGGGGCTGAGAAAGGCAGGTGGAAAATGATAAGAAATTAAGTAAGGAACTAGTGCTTGTTGGGGAGTTAGAAGACCT